GAAATCCTAATGATATTATGAGTGCACCTTAGGAACATTATACAATAATAAAAATGCAGTTCACGAACCGTTAAAGTCTTTTTTTTTTAAATACTAATGTTTTATGGTTTATGTTTGGGAAGTATAGTTGAACTACTTTATTTTCTGAGTCCCTCGTAGTTCATGAAGCTTCAGCAGCACTAGTAAATGCAAAAGTTAAACTGCACACCAGACACACACACACACACACACACACACACACACACACAAAGGCCCCTGCAGGCCTGCTGTGAAGGCCAGAGACTCAGACTCATCCATCGCCATCAGCTCTGCAGAAATGAAAAACAGTGAGACCTTCAGCAGGAGGTCAGAACCCAGAAACAGCCTCCAGTTCCTCAACCCTCACTCTCTCTCTCTCACACACACATACACACACACACACACACACACGTGTCAGGTAGGACAGTACGCCGCTGGGGGCCACAGCTCATCTCTACTGAACTCAAACACACTCAACATCACCGACGGCCTTCAAGTGCAGATGCAAAGATCACCATTCTGAGCTACACCAGCAAGGATGCATAAAAAAAATTAAATAAAGAAATAATTTAAAGAAAGAAGTATAAAGAATCTAAAATATACAATAAAACATTAACTTTTTAGTATAATATTATATATAATTATATATAATTACATATATGATGTTTTATAATATATTATACGATAAGTATGTACATATTATAAAATATTATCAAAGTTTTAGTGTAAATATGTATAGTAAATGTGTGTGTGTGCATGCAAGTTTAAAGAGTTCCAAAAAATAATATGTAACTCATAAAAGATATAGTATAAAAAGCATATACAGTATATAAAGCGTACTGTATGAAACATTATAAAAGTATAAAAAAGCATAAAACATACATAATACATAGAAATCATTTTGCATATTTATCATGGTAGATAGATAGATCTTGGCAGATATATCTTTTTCAGTTAGAGCTCCAAATTATGCCGCCTCAACAGCATTTCTCTCCTGTGGAGTTCCCCAGGGTTCTGTTTTGGCTCCGTTGCTTTTTGCTTTGTATTTGTTGCCTCTGGGGCAATTGATAAGTACTTTTCAAGGTATATGCTATCACTTCTATGCAGATGATATTCAACTTTATATCTATTTTAAGCCCGATGAGATTATGAAATTATCTCTTCTTTTAAATTGTATAAATACTATAGAAGTCTGGCAAACAATTACCTGCAGTTAAATTCTGAAAGAAAAAAAAAAACAGAAGCTTGTGGAGGTGATGGAAAGTCTTGGCCCCTTATCACATTCTTCACATTCTGGCCTTCGTAATCTATGTGTTCATATGGGTCAAGCCATCAGTCTCGATCAACATGTTAAAAATGTTAAAAATAATTTTTTTTATAAGTTGAGAAAAATTGCAAACGTGAGGCCATCTGTGTCAATAGTGGAGATGGAGATGATTATACATGCTTTTATTTCCTCCTGTCTTGATTATTGTAATTGTCTTTTTATTACGTGTCTCAGTAATGCATCCCTGAAACGATTACAAGTGGTTCAAAATGCTGCTGCTAAGCGTTTAACTAAGTCCCCAAACAGATCTCATATAACACCAATTTTGATTACGTTACATTGGCTCCCAGTCAAATTTAGTTCAATTTCAAAATACTTTTCTTAGTTTTTACAGCATTCCAAGCTCCTGTTTATATAAATGAGCTATTGCAACCTTATAATTCTAGCAGGAATCTGAGATCCTCCAAACAGATCCTACTAGTTGTTCCTCACTCAAGACTAAAGACAAAAGGTGACTCTGCCTTTGGGGTAATTGCTCCAAAGTTGTGGAATGCTCTTCCCTTAAATCTCAGATATGTGGACTCTGTGGACACTTTTAAAAAGTAGTTAAAATCTTACTTGTTTAAACTTGCATTTTTTTTTGTTTGCTATGGGTTTTTTTTTGTATGTTAGTAGTAGTTTTTTTCAATTGTTGTATGTTTTTCTCTATCTTGGATGTAAAGCACTGTGACGCTTGCTTTAGAAAGGCGCTATAGAAATAAAGTACTTATTATGGGCATTTAACAATTTTTTACTTTTCAGTCTGAGTTAAATCTCTTTTTTGGCTCATAATAATTCTGCACACCTGAATATAAGGAGTTCCATTTCACACACACACACACACACACACACACAGAGAAAGGCCCCTGCAGGCCTGCTGTGAAGGCCAGAGACTCAGACTCATCCATCGCCATCAGCTCTGCAGAAATGAAAAACAGTGAGACCGTCAGCAGGAGGTCAGAACCCAGAAACAGCCTCCAGTTCCTCAACCCTCACTCTCTCTCTCTCACACACACATACACACACACACACACACACACGTGTCAGGTAGGACAGTACGCCGCTGGGGGCCACAGCTCATCTCTACTGAACTCAAACACACTCAACATCACCGACGGCCTTCAAGTGCAGATGCAAAGATCACCATTCTGAGCTACACCAGCAAGGATGCATAAAAAAAATTAAATAAAGAAATAATTTAAAGAAAGAAGTATAAAGAATCTAAAATATACAATAAAACATTAACTTTTTAGTATAATATTATATATAATTACATATATAATGTTTTATAATATATTATACGATAAGTATGTACATATTATAAAATATTATCAAAGTTTTAGTGTAAATATGTATAGTAAATGTGTGTGTGTGCATGCAAGTTTAAAGAGTTCCAAAAAATAATATGTAACTCATAAAAGATATAGTATAAAAAGCATATACAGTATATAAAGCGTACTGTATGAAACATTATAAAAGTATAAAAAAGCATAAAACATACATAATACATAGAAATCATTTTGCATATTTATCATGGTAGATAGATAGATCTTGGCAGATATATCTTTTTCAGTTAGAGCTCAAAATTATACCGCCTCAACAGCATTTCTCTCCTGTGGAGTTCCCCAGGGTTCTGTTTTGGCTCCGTTGCTTTTTGCTTTGTATTTGTTGCCTCTGGGGCAATTGATAAGTACTTTTCAAGGTATATGCTATCACTTCTATGCAGATGATATTCAACTTTATATCTATTTTAAGCCCGATGAGATTATGAAATTATCTCTTCTTTTAAATTGTATAAATACTATAGAAGTCTGGCAAACAATTACCTGCAGTTAAATTCTGAAAGAAAAAAAAAAACAGAAGCTTGTGGAGGTGATGGAAAGTCTTGGCCCCTTATCACATTCTGTTAAACCTTGCCTTCGTAATCTATGTGTTCATATGGGTCAAGCCATCAGTCTCGATCAACATGTTAAAAATTTGGATCGAAATTTTTTTTATAAGTTGAGAAAAATTGCAAACGTGAGGCCATCTGTGTCAATAGTGGAGATGGAGATGATTATACATGCTTTTATTTCCTCCTGTCTTGATTATTGTAATTGTCTTTTTATTACGTGTCTCAGTAATGCATCCCTGAAACGATTACAAGTGGTTCAAAATGCTGCTGCTAAGCTTTTAACTAAGTCCCCAAACAGATCTCATATAACACCAATTTTGATTACGTTACATTGGCTCCCAGTCAAATTTAGTTCAATTTCAAAATACTTTTCTTAGTTTTTACAGCATTCCAAGCTCCTGTTTATATAAATGAGCTATTGCAACCTTATAATTCTAGCAGGAATCTGAGATCCTCCAAACAGATCCTACTAGTTGTTCCTCACTCAAGACTAAAGACAAAAGGTGACTCTGCCTTTGGGGTAATTGCTCCAAAGTTGTGGAATGCTCTTCCCTTAAATCTCAGATATGTGGACTCTGTGGACACTTTTAAAAAGTAGTTAAAATCTTACTTGTTTAAACTTGCATTTTTTTTTGTTTGCTATGGGTTTTTTTTTGTATGTTAGTAGTAGTTTTTTTCAATTGTTGTATGTTTTTCTCTATCTTGGATGTAAAGCACTGTGACGCTTGCTTTAGAAAGGCGCTATAGAAATAAAGTACTTATTATGGGCATTTAACAATTTTTTACTTTTCAGTCTGAGTTAAATCTCTTTTTTGGCTCATAATAATTCTGCACACCTGAATATAAGGAGTTCCATTTCA